TAAAACTTCTGGTAATTCATTTCATCTCTTCATTGTTGCCCTTCAGAGATGATGGAACTTCACGTAAATAAAATTACATTTTATCTGAAACCTCCCTGCAGTAATTTAATTTTCTTAAAAAGAGGCATTAATTGTTCGAAATTTTCCTCTGGAAATTCTCGTCAATTTTTTTCTAAAATAAAATACATTATTTTAAAAAAAAAGACAGTAGGGGCCCCTAAGATTCTTTTAAACTCTTTGATAAACAAAACACAGGGGCCCCAGGATTTTTTCTACTTCCTAAACAAAGATACCTGTATTAAAAAAATTTCTGTGCTTTTAACGCATTTTGTGTACAATTTTTTAACTGACAGAAGCCACCAAAGTTTGAAAATGTACAATATCTAAATTCATTCCATTCAAATTTAATTTTTTTTTTTCGCCAACTGAATTTGAAATTTAGGTTTTTTAACTTTTCAACACCTTTTTCAGTTGATGGATGGCATTATGATGAACATTTAAAATTTATTAAAATCTGAGAATTTCAAAGCGAAATAAATTTCGGGGTACTTTTATGATATTTTGAAAATTCCTATAATTCTTGCAATTTTGAAAAATTTCAACTTTTCGATATTTTGATATTATCTTCCACAGGGTGTATTAGTTGTACTTCAGAGGCAACTTTGATCTAAATAATTGTGTAGATTAAAAACAGCCCCACCCACCCACCCCTTCTCCCTTTCGGTGAACCAATTTCTTCGTTCTAAAATAAAAGAAGGATTTTACATTACCAAAAACTAAAACTTCTGGTAATTCATTTCATCTCCTCATTGTTCCCTTCAGAAATAAGGGAAGTTCACGTAAATAAAATTACATTTGATCTGAAACCTCCCTGCAGTAATTTCATTATCTTAAAAAGAGTATTTTTCGAAATTTTCGTCTCGAAATTCTCGTCAATTTTTTTCTAAAACAAAATATATTATTTAAAAAAAAACACAGTAGGGGCCCCTAAGATTCTTTTAAACTCTTTGATAAACAAAACACAGGGGCCCCCAGGATTTTTTCTCATTCCTAAAAAAAGATACATGTATTAGAAAATTTTCTGTGCTTTTAGCGCATTTTGTGTACAATTTTTTAACTGACAGAAGCCACCAAAGTTTGAAAATGTACAATATCTAAATTCATTCCATTCAAATTTAATTTTTTTTTCACCAACTTAATTTGAAATTTAGGAGTTTTAATTTCCGAACAACTTTTTTAATGGATGAATAGCATTATTATTAGCATTTTAAGATTTATGCAGTTTGAAGACTTGAAGAGAAACAAAATGGTATTCCTCAATGAAATTGTATTGGTTTTGCTTCACAGGCAACTTTGACCTTAATAATTTTGTGAATTAAAAGAGCTAGCCCCACCCACCCACCCCTTCTCCATTTCACTGAACCAATTGCTTTGTTCTAAAATTAAACAAGGATTTCACATTAACAAAAATTAAAACCTCTGCTAATTAATTTCTTCTTCTCCTCATTGTTGCGCTTCAGAGATGAGGGAAGTTCGGGTAAATAAGATTAAATGTCATCTGCATCCTGTCTGCAGTAATTTCATTTTCGTAAACAAAGGTGTAAACTTTTCCTCTCGAAATTCTTTCAAAAACAAAATACACTCCTAAAAAAAGGCTGCAGGGGTTCGAGATTTTTTATCAGTCTAAAAAATATATTTAATAAATTTTCTGAAGTTTTAACACACTTTGTCATAATTTTTTAACTGAAAGAAAACACCGAAGTTTAAAAAATATACATTATCTAAATTCATTCCATTCAAATTTCAATTTTTTTTAACAACTGAATTTGAAATTTAGAACTTTTGAACAACTTTTTCAATGATACGACAGCATTATTAATAACATTTTAAGATTTATTGCAGTTTGAGGCCTTCAAAGAGTAAAAAAAATTGTATAGTTATCTTCATGAAATTGTCAAAATTTCTATAATTTTTAAAATTTTGGAAAATGTCTGGTTCTCGTATTCTTAGAAATTAACTTTCCGCAGGGTGTACTAGTTTTGTTTCACAGGCAACTTTGACCTTAATAATTTTGTAGATTAAAAGAGTTAGCCCCACCCACCCACCCCTTCTCTATTTCAATGAACCAATTGCTTTGTTTTCAAATTAAACAAAGTTTTCATCTTGCCAAAACCTAAAACCTCGGGCAATTGATTTTTTCTCCTCATTGTTGCGCTTCAGAGATGAGGGAAGTTCGCGTAAATAGGATTAAATATCATCTGCATCTTGTCTGCAGTAAATTCATTTTCGTAAACTGAGATGTACATTTTTCGAAATTTTCTTCTCGAAATTCTCTTCAAATTCTTTCAAAAATCAAAATATGTACATTCTTAAAAAAACCAGCAGGGTTCCGAGATTCTTTATCATTCTAAAAAATATATTAAAATTTTCTGTGCTTTTAACGCATTTTGTATACAATTTTTTAACTGACAGAAGCCACCAAAGTTTGAAAATATACAATATCTATATTAATTCCATTCAAATTTTTTTTTTTTATCAACTGAATTTTAGAATTAGGTCTTTTAACTTTCGAACAATTTTTTTAATGGATGAATAGCATTAGCATTTTAAGATTTATTGCAGTTTGAAGACTTCAAGAAGTAAAACAAAATTGTATTCCTTAATGAAATTGTCAAAATTCCTATAATTAGTGAAATTATGGAAAATGTCTGGTTCTCGTATTTTTAGAAATTATCTCTCTAGAGGGTGTATTGGTTTTGCTTCAAAGTTTGACCTTAATAATTTTGTGAATTAAAAGAGTTAGCCCCGCCCACCCACCCCTTCTCCATTTCACTGTACCAATTGCTTTGTTCTAAAATTATAGAAGGATTTCACATGACCAAAAATTAAAACCTCGGCTAATTAATTTCTTCTTCTCATTGTTGCGCTTCAGAGATGAGGAAAGTTCGAGTAAATAAGACTAAATGTCATCTGCATCATGTCTGCACTAATTTCATTTTCGTAAACAGAGATGTTTTTCGAAATTTATCTCTCGAAATTCGTTCAAAAATAAATAAAATTCCTAAAAAAAGCAAGATTCGTTATCATTCTAAAAATATATATTTAAAAAAATTTATGGGGTTTTATAACATTTTGTCATAATTTTTTTACTGAAAGAAAACAACAAAGTTTAAAAAATATGCTTTATCTGAATTCATTCCATTCAAATTTCAATTTTTTTTACCAACTCAATTTGAAATTTAGGAGTTTTGAACAACTTTTTCAATAAATGGATGGCATTATTATTAGCATTTTAAGATTAATTGCAGTTTCAGCACTTCAAAGATTATACAAAAATGGTACACTTTCATGAAATTGTCAAAATTCCTACAATTTTTGAAATTTTTGAAGATGTATGTTTAGAAGTCACCTTTATACAACGTATATTGGTTTTACTTCACAGACAACTTTGACCTTAATAATTTTGTAGATTAAAAAAGTTAGCCCCATCCACCCACCCACCCCTTCTCTATTTCAATGCTCCGGTTGCTTTGTTCTGAAATTAAATAAGGTTTTCACATTGCCAAAAACTAGAACCTTGGGTAATTAATTTCTGTTGAGTTGTTAATTTTTCAAAAATTTTCTGTCAATATGTTCTCCAAATTCTTTCAAAAACAAAATACATTCTTAAAAAATATATATTAAAAGATTGTCTGTGGTTGTAAGACTTTTTGCAATAATTTTTAACTGAAGAAGACACCAGTTTCAAAAATGTACAACGCAAATTCATTCCTTCAGTTTTCACTTTTTTTTCCAACTGTATTTGAATTTAGAAGTTTTGACTTTTAAACAACTTTTTCATTATTTATTTTAAAATTTACTGAGGTTTGAGGATTTCAAAAATTAAATCAATATTTTTGGTACAGTAATGAGATTTTGAAAATCGTTATATTTTTGCAGTTTTGAAATATGTTTTTTATTTAGTTCGTCAAATAGCTGCAAGGTCAACATGATTATTTTAAAAATTAATTTCATGGCTCACTAGAGGTCATTTTTTCCGATCATATGATACATTCTACGTTTCATCTACGGTGTAGGCAACCAAATATTCAAAAAAAATAACCTCAAAAAAAATTGAAAAAACCTTTGCACTTTCTGGATTTATAGTACATACGTCAAGTATCGCCAAAACAAAACTATTCATTTACACAGAATTCAGTGTCGTTTTAATAATTTTATTGGAAAATTTTTAAGGACTTCCAAAAAAAATTTTCCAAGAAACCCAAACAGCCAAAGTAAAATATTACACACTTTCTTGTTGTAAAGAGTCACATGGAAATTTAGCTTCTTTATCCAAAATTGTTCTTTTGCTCTATTTTTTGTTTATTGTTTAAATAAATAAAATCAACCGTCAACAGGAATTAATTTTGACGTTTGTACTTTGTAGTCTGCGCTTGCGCGATCTAGTACTCTAGTTTACGTGTCTTGTGTCTAAGATCACGTTATTTCTTATTTTACCGTCGTCTTAATTTTTTTCCACAAACTTACGCCTGTGTGGAGATTTTTCGGGCACAATATTATAAGAAGCAGATATTGCACCTGGAATGAGATTCAGGGCTTCACAGACACTTTATTTTAATGCAAAATTAAAATTAAATGCGCCATCTTAGACATGTTTGGGAGTGTTGTGGTAATCATTGTACCGAAATTGACTTTATAACAATGAAAGAATGTCTATACATATAGGAGTGTTATTTTTGATCATTGAACGATTAAAAGTGACACTTCAATCTTTTCAGATAATCAGTGAAGTCCCAGAGTGCTAAAAAGAAATTACTTGTTGCAGAGTGCTTTGTGGCTTGACTCGATTTAAAAATATCGTCAGATTTATTGTAAATAATCCAAGTAGTGGAAAACGAAGCTTCTAGATCACCCTATAGCGCTATAGTTAACGCTTTTTTCGTTACCTTCACGCGCAAAAATTGCTTTCTTTTGGATTTTATTGGTTACTTTTATTGCAGAGTGATCTAAACTATCTCCAACCTTCCAAACTTGTGAGATGTGGCTTCAGTGTAACGCTTCTACAAGAACTCCTATCCAAGGTCACTAGTTACAATCCCACTATCTATTAAAATTTAAAACTAGCTCCGGAAACCAAAAACTACCAAGCAAAAAATATTTGTCCTTTAAGTGACAATCAGTTATGCGTGTTAATTTTTTTTAATAAGACTGACTAAATCGTTAACTCATTTTCGTTTTTTATTTGAGGGTTGAGTAGTTTTTCCGAAAAGTGAATTAAATAAGTAAAGTTGACTTAAATTGCAGATGCGCCGACCCCTCGCATCCGCCAGTCCGGTCACCTCTTTGTACTACAACAACAATCCGCCGCCATTCCACCAAGGGTCAATACCACCGGGACACGCCATCGTTGGACATCCTGGTAGCGGATTGGGTAATTACTGTGGACAAAACAATCGACGTAGTACTTAAAAAAAACGTCAATTTTTGCCAGGATCTCCCCAACTGATTTACCACCAGAGGATGCAAGACCCCTCCAAGGAGCTCCTGGCCGAGTCGCAGCGCGTCAAGCTGCAACTATGCAACTTGGAGAAGCAACTCAACGACCTAAAGCTGGCGACACAGGGCGTGACGACCTTGAGCGAACGCGACAGACTGACCCAGGAACTGCAACTCATTGAGCAAGGGATCCAGGAGAAGCAGAAGGAAGCCTGCCTGGTGAGTGACGGCGCGGTTGACCTCGCGACGTAAGTGATCGCGTTGGCGCGTTTCAGAATAAAATCGTGCACTCGTGGAACCAAGCCATGGGCAACTACAACAACGCCAACGTGGCGAATTTGGAGACGTCGGAGGAGGCGATGTACGAGGCCGACATTGCGAACGACATGCGCCAGTTAGAGATTCGTCTCCAGGAAGAGATCGAAGAGCAAGAGAAGATATGGAGCAGTGAAGAGGACTCCAACCAGTAAATTAAACCCAATGGGTTCAGTTCTTCTTTTATTTCATGACATGTTTTCGTGTGGGCATCAAAGTCTGATTGCTATTTTGAATCATAAATGTAGGAATACGGTCTATGCATTTTCTTTCCTAAGGTGATTTTCTAGCATTTTTTTAAGACGTGTGATTCAAAATATTTGATACTTTCAGACTGTTTTATTCACATTAAATACAATAGGTGCATTTCACATTTACTGAATTCGATGAGTAGTTGTTCCAGTTTTATTGGAAAACAGCGTGGCGTCTTTATCACTCGCTCCAGAGAATGATTAGCTGAAATGTTATCTATCTTTAATCATACTGTGTGTGATCGGTATATCAATGTTATGAGTTGATATATTTTAATTTAGTGTGCATTTGTTTGAAAATGCAACTGACTAAGAAGTTATGATGCTTAAATTTAATTATATAGTCTAATTTATTAAGCTTTATAAATGGTGTGTTACTGTGTTACAAAGAAATTATAAAAAATGTGTTTAAGTCGTTCTAGCTAAAGCATTCAGGTCTTAATATCTTTGTAATATACGTAAACCAACATACATGTATAATGTAATTTGATGTATGCATCCAAGGATTATTTAGAGCTGTCATTTTATTGTAATATCAAGTCATTGCAGTTTCGTCCCGTCGCGGAATCTATCGTGGAAATACCAAGCAATTTCAGCGCCTTATTTAGTTTTATTACGGACGGTCCTGTCGTAATTATCTTAGCGACTAAAAGATAATTATAAAATCGGTTGTTGATTTTCGCATTCAAAATGTCAAGTTGTTAAATTTCGATGACTTATTGCGTTTTTGAAATAAAATGAGTCTGTATTAGAAACTGAGCATCGAACTATTTTTTATAAATGTAGAAATGCCAAAGTAATTTTTTCCAACTTACTAATAATAAAACCTGATGATGTACTGGATGGCTCGATTATATAATTATTTATACAAGTGTTACGTAATCACGTGCTTTGTTATTTCAATTTTAGCTTGTCTACGACTTTCGCTTTGACAGCTCTGCGGTTTCGATTTATTGTATAATTGTAAAATTCTTTGCTGAAGCAAGTTTGCAATATTAGCCTAGGCTGTGTAACATTGTTTTTTTCGTGATTGTATTTAACGTTGTTTACGTTTGCCCTATAGTCAAGTTTTATTTATTGAGTCATCTGGCATTCATTTTTATATTAGGTCATGTTGCACATGTGATTAATATTTAACTATTTATACTGATTACATTAATCACGTATGTATATTTGGGTGGAAGTATATAAATTATACCAATATTTAAATAAATTATTATTACCTATCGTGACTTGAAGTTTTATTACCTTTTCTCGTATAAGGACTGCTAAAAGAGAAGCTAAGTTAACTAAACAAACCAAGCTGGACCTGGCAACTTTGCAGCTGCGTAAGTGGTTCTTTAGAGAAACTCTATGTGAATATTTTGCTGTATACGTTTCTAAATGAATTAATTCAAGAAATTCACGTGGTTAATGTAGAAGAACCAGAGACTTTAATAATATTTAAAGTCTCTGAGAAGAACAAACAATTGCTAGTTTCGAAGTCTCATTAATTCTTTATTGGCTAATTTGTATGCAACCAACAAAACAGCAATGGTTAGTATAAATATGTATATGGTCATCTTTGTTTTACTGGTTGCCAATACCGGAAATTCCAAAATTCTTTTAAATCTGTTCTAATCTAAACCAAAACACTAGAAGCCACTGAGATTCTTTCAAATTCCTCCCACGAGATTCCTTAAACTTCTCTCAAAAATAAAAACACAGTAAGTTGGTTTCCAAGATTCTTTCAAATTCTTCGTCAAACAGAACACCAGGGTCCTCACGGGTTTCTTCAAACTAAAACAGAAGCTGAGCGACCACTATTTAGAAAACCGGGTAAGTTAATATTTAGAAACATGGTTTATTAATTGTCAAAAATTTGCAAATAAATTCAAGTTAATTCATGTGTCAGTGTCGAGCAACCAGCAAAACATCATCGATCGGTAAAATTATATACCTGCGTGTTTTACTGGTTGCCTACTTTAAATAATTTTTATTATTTTATCATGAATGAGATGAATGATCTCTTATCTGTGATCAATGATCATGTTATGAGTTCTGAAAATTTCATTGAAATTGGAAATTAATTTATAAATATTCATAATGGGTGATACAGCTAACAATAATCATATGTAATTTTATAATTTGGTGCAAAAAAAAATATATATATATGACACTGATTCAAAATTACGCAAAATTAATAATGTCACAGAGATTTTCGTCCCAGAGTTTTTTTTAACACATGCATCCCTAAAATAAATAACTAATTAATTACATTTAAATTAGCGATGATTTTTTATTAAAAATGAATAAGTAATTAACTGTTGTCCCGTTTGTGGGTATCGTTATTTTTTATTGAATAATTATGCATGAACATTAATTAATTAATCGTTTACTGTGTTTATCTGTAAGTAATTGATTATAATAATACTTCTACGCCTATTTCATAAGCCATTAATTTCGGTTAATTAACTATGATTTAACGAATTGTTCGAATAACTAACTATAAAGCTAATTTGTTTTTATTGAATTAATGAATTAATTGATAGAAATTCTCTTTTTATTATTTTTTAAACAATGACTATAGAAAAAAAATGGTTATTTCGACAGAACTTTCTTGAAAGATTATAAATTTTTGCTGAAGTTTTTGTTTTCTGATAACCTGTGTAATGTAAAAACTAGTGGCGTAAATAATATTCCTACAATTTTTCGAGTTTTGAAGTTTAATTTCTCCAAATTAATTTAAATTTTTCAGTTTTTAGATTTTATAAATTTTCGATTTGAGTTTCTGAAGTTTTCTATTTTTCCATTTTTCCATCGTTTCGATTTTTAATTTTCTTTATTCTTTCAATTATTCAATTTTTCAGTGTTTCTTTTATAATTCAAGTTTTTTTAAATTTACCTAATTTTTCGATTTGCGTTTTTTCAATTTTTCATTTTTTTTTTTTTGTTTTTTCAATTTTTAAATTTGCCATTTTTCTGTTTAATATTTTCCGAGTTTACGATTTTTCAGTTTAGTTTTCTTAAAATTTTCAGTTTTTGAATGTTCCGATTTTTTCATTTTGTTCTTTCAATTTAATTTTTTTCAGTTTTTCCTTTCTTCAAGTTTACCGTTATTCAAATCTTTGAATTTTCACTTTTAAATTTTTCAGTTTTCCGATTTTCCAACTTCTGGATGTTTAAGTTCTTAGATTTTACAATTTTTTGATTTCACGAGTTTTCAATTTTTCATTTATCAATTCTTAGATTTTTCAATTTTTCGATTTCGAGCTTTTTGTTCTAATTTTTTATTTTCTTTATTTTTTCAATTTTTCGGCTTTCCAGTGTTCTGATGATCCAATTTTTTTTTTTCAATGTAAATTCAATTTTTCCATTTTTCAGTTTTAGATTTTTCAGTTTCTCGATTTTTCAATTTTTCGTTTATTCCATTTTTGATAGGCAAATTTTCTAGTTTTCATGATAAATATGTTAATAATTATTATAGTTTTTAAAAGTTTTCACTTTTTCAGTCTTAGGATTTTCGAATTCAGTTAGTGGATTCAAATCTTTAGCATTTATTCGATTTTTCAGTTTTTCGGCTTCTAATTTTTCAATTTCTCCATATTTAATTTTTCGATTTTTTGATCTTTTAATGTTGCAGTTTTTGGAGATTTTATCATTGTTCGATTTTACAAGTTTTGGGTTCTCCAATTTTTCATTTCAATTCGTTTTTTCATTCTTTCCAATTTTTCGATTTTTGGGTTTCTCGATTTTTAGTTTTTCAATGTTTCGATTTTTGGTTTCTTGGATTTTCCACTTTTTCGAATTTGCACAGTTTTTTGATTTTTGAATTTTTTCCGATTTTTTAGTTTCTCGAATTTTAATTTTTTAAATTGAAAAATCAAAAATGAAAAAACGAAAAAGTAAAACATGAAATTTTCGAAAAATCAAAAATATGGAAATCAAGAACTTGAAAAAACAAAAAATCGAAAAAATTATGCAACCGAAACAATGTAAGATGGAAAACTGAAAAATTAAAGAAAATGTGTTTATTCGTTTATACCCTCCTGCAAAATTGATGACGTCAAAATTTATCACAAAAAAAAATAAATTTCCCAGAATAGAATCTTATAATTTTCCTTCCTCTTCTATTTTACAATTTTTTGATATCACAATTTTCAATTTTTAAAATTCTAGATTTTTTGAAATTTCGATTTTTCAATTTTTAATTTCTCAATTGCTAGATATTTTTTCCAGTTTTGGGATTTTAAAATTTTTCGACTTCTCGATTTTTCAACATTAGATTTTTCAATTTTTCAATATTTCAATTTTGAGCTTTTTCAATTTTTTCATTCTACAAATTTTCGGGTTCTAGATTTTTTATTTTTCGATTTCCCAAATTTTTCACTAGTTTGACGTTTGTAAATTTTCAGTTTTTCAATGTTTCAATTTTTCAGTTTTTAGATTTTTTAAGTTTTCGATTTTTCGAAAATGCTTTTTTACTTTTTCGATTTCTAAATTCTTCATTTTTTTAATTTCGCAATTTTTGGATTTCTTTCAATTCTGGGATGTTTGAATTTTTCGATTCTTCAATTTTCCCTTCATTTTTTAATTTTTCGATATTTCCGCTTTGGAATTTTTCAGTGTTGCGATTCTTCGACTTTTAGATTTTTTAGACTTCTGGTTTTTTTAGTTTTTGGATTTTCAGTATTTCGCTTTTTAATTTTAAATATTTCAGTTTTTCGAGTGTTTAATATTTCGATTTCTCAATTTTTCAACTTTTCGATACAATCATTTTCCAATTTTTAAATTCTAGGTTTTTTGATTTCTTGACTTCTCAGTTCTTCTATATTTCAATTTTTCATTTTCCCGAATTTTTAAATTTTCAATTTTCCATTTTTTTTATATTTCGGCTTTTCAAGTTCTTAATTTTTCAATTTTTGGTATTCTTTCCAGTTTTGGGACTTCATTTTTTTAATATTTATTTAATTATCCGATATTTCAGTTTTGGATTTTGGATTCCTCAATTTTGTACATTTTGAATTTTCAATTTTTCGTTTTTTAAACTTTCGATTTTTCAATTTTTCAACTGTTTTATACTTCGATTTCTCAATTTTTCAACTTTTCGATATTTTAATTTTTCAACTTTTAAATTCTGGATTTTTAGTTTTCGATTTTTCGATTCTGACCTACTTCGGTTTGTTAATTTTTCGACTTTTCGACTCCTCTATTTCTCGATCGTTTGATTTTTCGATTTCTAGATGTCTCAATTTTGGAACTTTTCGACGTTTTTTAGATTTTTCGATTTCTCGGGTTTTTGATATTTCACTTTTCGGCTTTTCGATTTTTCGACTTTTCAGTTATGCAATTTTTTTAATTTTTTAGTTTTTTAATTTTTGGACTTCCGGTTTCTCGATTTTTCAATGTTTTAAATTTCAGATTTTTCGATTTCTCGATTTTTCGGTTTTTCAGTTCTTCGATTTTGGTGTATTTCGCTTTCTCAATTTTTCGACTTCTCGTCTTTTCAACTCCTCTAGTTCTCGATCCATTGATTTTTCAATTTCTCGGTGTCTCAGTTTTTGAATTTTTCGATGTTTCGATTTTCCAGTTATCAACTGTCAGATTTTTCAATTTTACTATTTTAGAATTCAGTTAGTTGATTTTAAACCATTCGCATTTATTCGATTTTTCAATTTTTCGACTTCTAATTTTTCAACTTCTAAGTTTTCAATTTCTGCATTTTTAATTTTTGAATTTTTTGATGTTTTAAGTTACAGTTTTTGGATCTCACAATTTTGAAGATTTTATCATTTTTCGATTTTACAGTTTTCGGGTTTTCCAATTTCTCATTTCAATTCGTTTTTTCTTCTTTCCAATTTTTCGACTCACTCATTTTTTCGATTTTTAGGTTTCTCGATTTTTAGTTTTTCAATGATCGATTTTTCATTTCTTCAGTTCTGCGATTTTCTACTTTTTCGATTTTGCAATTTTTTGTTTCTTCAGTACTTTGATTTTTGATTTTTTTCCGATTTTTTAGTTTCTCGAATTTTAATTTTTTAAACTGAAAAATCAAAAATGAAAAAACGAAAAAGTATAAAATGAATACTTTGAAAAATCTAAAATTGGAAACCAAGAACTTGAAAAATTGAAGAAACGAAAAATCGAAAGATCGTAATCTCGGAAAATTGAAGAAACCAAAAATTGAAAAATTTGGAATACGAGAAATTGAAAAATTGAAACCCAAACAACGTAAAATGGGAACATTGAAAAG